TTTCTTCGGATTTCCCCTCGTGAAGTGGGTCGGATTCTGAAAAATAATCCTTTTTCTCCTGACGAAGTTCCTTGCCACCGCGTGATTGCGACTAATTTTTTTATTGGAGGATATTGCGGTGAATGAGGGGAAGGAGAAAAGGTGGTTGCCAAACGAAAATTATTGGCGGACGAGGGTGTGTTCTTTGATAAACAAGGTTATTTGCTGAGAAAATTGCGCCCGAAAGTTATTTTTAACAATTTTCAAAAATAGATAAAAGTTTGGTTTTTAGTTATTAAGATGGCGGTGCCTTTGGTTGATGTAGAAAAACATTTTGAGGTTTTTAGTTATCAGAACTTATAAAATTAAGTTAATGAGGAATGATGTTGTAAAGTAAGGTATGGAAAAATGACAATACAGAAAGGTTGTCCCTTTCTAATTTGCTGAATGATTAAGATAAAACAAAAAAAAGTAAGAAAGCGGGAGTCTCGCCGCTCTAATTGATTAAAAATATTTATAAGTGAGTAAAGAAACCTTACAAAAAATTGTTGAAAAGGGCTACGCTGAAGCCTGTTATCAGTGAAAGATAATTCCTTATCGAAAAGTAATCTTTAAGGGCTTTTACAACAAGCAAATTTATCAGCAAATACTAAACAATGAGGAAATATTACTTAATCTCCAAGTTGATACTCCCCTGCGGAAAAAGATTTTTAGCGAGGAATTGGATGAGATAATTTTGGGTAAATCAGGAGTAGCCTTGCCTGCTAAATGAGAAACCTGAATTATCCTTAATCCTTACTTTTTAGAGTTAGAACATTCAGAAAATTTATGGTTAGATTTGGTGGGAACAATAGCCCACGAAACATCCCATGCCGTTATTTTTAATTGAGATATCTATTGAGGACATGTTGAACCACACCGTCAGATAACTGAATATTTACGAGATTACTATTTACAGCAGGATATTGATTGAAAAAAATTATTAAAGGACAAGTAGAATTTAGAATTATGTCAAGACTAGCAACATTAGAAAAAAATCTAAACAGAGATATTAATCAGCGACAGAATTACGCTGAACTAGTATCTTTTTATAATCGTTTAGACCAAGAACAAAAAGTAGAATTTCGCCATAAACTAGAAAAAATAATTAAACAACCAGTTTTGCCACAAAGAATTGAAAAATATCTCCATTCTTTAAATCAGAAAGGATATGAAAGAATGCTGATTTATGTTAAATTGCTTTTGGTGAGTTAAGATTGTTATAAGAAATTACGTAATAAACAATAAAAATATCATGGTTAACTTAGATTTAATTGATAAGAAAAATGGAGAATCATCAGTGAAAGATTTGAGTCCTTTTTATGAAGATATAATTAGTGATTTAAAAGAATTAATGAAACGTGTTATTGAATATGATGATGTAATTATTCACTTACGTCCTTTGATTGCTGGTGAATCTATTAGGAGAGGATTATTGAAATTATGATGATTTAGACAAAACAGAGGAAGCACTTGAAGAAATTATAAATCAATGAGATAAAGGAGATAGTAGGTATGGAGGAAGATTTGGTGAAAAATGAAAAGAAATTGATAATTTAGAGGAAACTAGTGAAATAAAAATGCTTAACGAGTTTAGAGAGGTAATTATTAGGGTTATTTGTCTTTACTCAGGTTGCAAGAGAGTTGAGCTTGGTGCATCGCTTCAAAGGGGGCAGTTAAGGAAAAATTTGAAACAAACACAGGAAGAGTTGCTAGAAAAAATAAGATTGTTAAAAAAGTTAGATGAAGAAATCGAAACTCTAAAACAAGAATTAGAAGGCGAACGAGCCGCAGCCCAAGAACGCCCTGCCAGACACCTCAGTTTTTTGGGACATCAATATCCCCAACAATTTGCTGAACTAGAAGCAAGAGGGTCAGAAGTCAATATAGACAATCTTATCCAACTCTTAGCATGAAAAGAACAGGAAGCCCAATTTGCGAAAAATAAACAAATTAAAGAAAAGAGAAAAATTTATTCTAAACTTCAAAAACACAGCCAAAATATTAGGAATTTGAATGCCATTCGCCAAGATTTAACTGAAAAACACAATGTAGAAAAAGCCAACCACCAAACCACCCAAAATGATTTAACTAACGAACAAAAGCAAAACCAAATTCTCCAAAATAAAATTCAGCAAGTAGAACAACAAAGAGACAATTACAAATCCCAATTAG